TATCTTTGTTTGAAATTAGTTAACCAACCAGAAGAACCACTAAAATCTTGGTTATTTAATAACTCTGCAAATTTCATGCCCTTTTGTTTAATAATAGAATCCGTAATAGTTAAATTGCATCCAAGAGCCTTTTCAATCCATAAAATTAAAGCTTCTTCAATGTTAGTAAATGGAGTAATAGATGGTCTTTTTAAATTTGCTTGATAGGAATTTGGATTGATTTTTCAGACTCCTTTAATATATTACTAACTTGGCCTGCACTGATTTACTAAATCAAGATTTTTTGGTTCAGGTTTGCTTTTTTTCAATATACATAATTCACGTTTTTATACTGCAGTAATATATACACATTTTTTGGAGGAAGATGATTGTTCAGTCATTTTTAAATAATTTTTAAATGTATAATTTTTTTGGTTATATAGGATTTTTTATAAATGGAATTTCAACTTAATTTATACATTTTGAAAATTTTGAAGGAAATTGATAAATAATCTAGCAATTGTTTGTTTATTAATTTATTTTAGAAACTTGGGAAAGGTAACTTGTAAAATTTTGTTACTCGCAAATCTTTGGATAATCAATCAATTATTTTGGAATTAAATCTATCTATTGTTTGTTTTATTGCTTTATTTTAGAAAAAAAAATTCTTACATTTATTTGTCAATTTTGGTAATTTGGATAATTTCATTAAAATTTATATCATGTGAATTCGCTGTGATGTGTGATGAGATTAGTAGCAATATAGAAAGACCCCCACCAAAAATTCGTTAACGTTGTGGAACGAATTTATTAATAAAATTTGTTATGACAAATATTTTTAATTAATAAAAAAAGGGGCCGCCGATATCTAAATTCATTGTTTGTAATAAGAAATTCGCTGTGATGAGGTTCGTTGTGACGAGGTTTGACTGTAGATAAATAATTAGTGTACGTGCTGTCGATCGATCAACAATCTTCTTTTTTAAAAAATTTCGTCATATTGCCCAAATAAAGATAGCCGAGGTGCCACCACTCGTCACTCTAGTTTTTTTTGAAAAATTGGCATCATGGCTTTATTTCAATTTAGCAAGAAAACAGTAAGTAGTAAATCATTACAACATTCGAATTTCGATCCTCAAAATTCATATTAACATAATCATATTGTAAAGAATACTTTCATGAATAAAATCGGCCAATTATCAACCATTGACTGGAGATCATTAAACACTGTAGATGATCAACTCATCATTTCGGCAAATTACTATCTTGAAAGGATTTCCAGTAATCATCAAACAATGTTCTTTTCTGTCATTATTTTTTTCTTATTTTCAGGACTTAACGTTTATATTATTATATATTCTCCCTATTATAGGATAACAATGGTAATGATGATGGTGATCACGTAAGTATAAAGAACTTTTCTGTTTAGTGGTTTGTCAGAAATTTAACCTTTGAACCTACCTTACATTATCATACCTTCTTCTATTCCAGGATGTTGATGATGATAACAATAATGGCAATAATAATGTAAGTATAAGGAGCTTTCCTGTTTAGTAATTGTTCATTTTCATTTCAGAAATTCAACCTTCTAACCTTTATATTATTATGGTTACAGAATAATGATAACAACAACAACAACAATAATGGTGATGATAATATAGGTTAAAAGAACATCTCTGTTTAGCGATTGTTCATGTTCATTTCAGAAATTCAACCTTCATTTTATCACTTCTTTCTGTTAATGAATCATGATGATAAAATGATAATGATAATAACAATAATAACAACAATAATACTGGAAATGATAATGTAAGTTAAAAGGACTTCTCTGTTTAGTAATTTGTTCATTTCAGAAATTTAATCTTTGTACTATTACATCTTTCTATTAAAGAATCTTGATAATGGTAATAATGATAATAATGATAATAACAATAATAATGGTGATGATAATGTAAGTCAAAAGAGCTTTGCTGTTTAGTAATTTATTCATTTTCATTTCAGAAATTTAATCTTCTAACCTTTATATTATTATACCTTCTTCCTATTAAAGAACAATGATAACAACAATAATAATAATTTGTATTCCATTTCAGAAATTCACCTTAATATTATTGTATCTTCCTATTACAGGATGTTGATAATAATGATAATAATGAAGGTGAAATTAGGGCTGGTGATGAAATTAATTAACATCAATTAGTTATTTATAACCTATTTTTATTTTTACTAATAGTGTTTTTATTATTATTATTATTATTATTATTATTAAAAATTAGGTAATAGCAAAAGAAAAAGGGCTGAAGAAACTGGGTATAATCTTCGCCCTAGAGACCCCAGAAAAAATTATAAGGACAGACCTTTGAGGTGTCCACAAAAAAAGAAGAGTTGTTATGTGGTAGGTATAAATTGGAGTGTTAATAATAAATATCAGTTTACTTGATCTTTTTTTACTTGTGTTTATAGGAACCATTGCCACAATCACCACAATCACCATTGTCAAATACATCATCATCATCAGATGAGGTATATTATA